GGCAGAGGGAAAGGGATTTAAGAAAAGAGCTATTTGCCACCATCAGCAACGCTGGATCCACCTTTTATACGTATAAATTAAGCTGCTCATGTTGTACCCGCTTACTGGACTTCAAAAATACAATGAAAATCAGTGAGAAAGTTGAAAGTTTATGAAACTTCCGGAATTTCTTCCAGAAACCGGAACATTACATCAAGCTAGAATTACGTAGCTCAAGGTCGAAGGGACTGGGGCAGCTGCGTGTGTCGGAAAGCACTGCAGTAACATCATTAACATGGGATACTCACACCGATTGTCCCGGCGATCTTGGTAATTGTTCAGCTTTGATGTAGTGGTTTCGTATGTTCTCGAGTTTTAAATTACGACTTGAATTTTCATGCAAATTGGTTTTTTTACAGCTTATTTGCTTCACGTTTCGCTGGTCATCTGGTATGGCGTGTCTGAGAATATTGATCAGTCGAGCCACCATCAGCTTGCTTCTCAAGCAGTTCCCGGAGAACAGGGCTATCGGCAGCGAGTGGCCGCTGTTTCAGATTCAAATCGGTTCTAGGTAAGTTCCCTTATCTCACTGAAGTGGCAAGTAGCTTTTACATTGATTTGTCCTGCGTGACGGGCAAAAGCGTGTTTAAAGATTTTAAGCGCAAGAATTTCAGCTTTGCAGATTTCAGGTTATAACGTAAAAACAAAGCAGAGCTTATTCCAGTCAAGTGCATTCCATCGATATTCAGTTTTTTGGATTTATTCCACGTTTGCTATATTTAAGACATCCGAAAAAGATTCAAAAAGAAACGACTGGACTTACTGCAAACGACGGCATACTTCTTTCCTGTTAAACCGGCATTTTACTGCCAATTTTTTTAAACTAAACTTTTTGTCATTTCTGTTAAAAGTGTGCAGCTGTACTTTTTCCGGCAGCGCTATGTCAACTTTCTGCATTATCCGGCCATCACTGCCACTACTATCACTGCTGCTATTCATATTTGGTTTGTTTTTTATGCCTTTTTGCATAAATTTCTATAAACTTATTGCGGAGAGACAAAATGTACGTCGCATGTGAAGTATGTGCCGTTTGTTTGTTTGATACACGTGGGGTTTGTACCATGTCTGTGTGTAATTTGTCTCTGTGACGTGTGTGTGTGTGTGTGTGTGTGTGTGTGTGTGTGTG